AGTAACAGAGTAGGTCTTCAGCTTTAACTTATTTCATTAAGATTCTAATGGGTATAATTCTAATAAAGGCATAACTGACATCCTGGTACCCAGGATTGCAAATTAAATCATCAAGTCTCATTCCTTACAAGAAAGAACATATTGAATCAATAATGTTTGTATCACCTGATGGCAACACAAAGGATCTAGGGACTGCACAGATATGGACACACACACACACACACACACACACACACACACACGTGTGTATATTTTTTGCAAAAGAGAGAAAAGCTTGGTAAAAAGCAAAATTCAGCCAACTCAGGAAAAAAATTGCAATTAGTCAATTGGATGCCAGACAAAATAAATTAGGCTTACTATTGAAAAATAACAATGTTCAGGAAAATTTTTTTAATCAGTTACCAAGTCCAGCTCTCATTCCAAAACCCTCCTCGGATGTCCCAGAGATCCTGTATCAGGTTCTTGAAATCACCCACATCCACCATGTCTAACTCCACATAACCTGTCTGTGGCTTCCCACACTGCCTTTGAAAAGAACTAATGCTATCACTTTCATCTCATTTAGATATTTATTTCATATTTGCCAGAAGATTCTGGCCAATGTTTTTGAAAGCACATTTAACTATACCATATGCCTCCTTAAGTCATCTCTATCGAGCAAGCTGTAGATTGAGGCTCTGCTATGTTCCATTCTGTTTTTCTTTCTTCACAATGTGTTTATGTATGTTTACCCAATTTTTTCTGTTCTTTTTGTCAAATTACAGGTTTGAGGTCTCAAATACCCCCAGAGCAGCTGTGCTATTATCACTGTCTCACAGAACAAGGGTCAGAGAACTAGCTCTGTATTGCAAGCACGTGTGATGACCACATAACATACCTGGAGTCTGCTACCCTGGAACAAAGATCAATCAAAGAACTCTTAGGAGGCCATCCTATTTAAACTCAAAGAAGGCATCTCGCTACAAATGAGCAACTGACACAAAATAATCTACCAAAATCTTTGCTAAGACAATGTTCATAGGTATATGAAGTTTCAAAAGGAAAGCCTGGCCAATGAGAAGGATAGCTACATCCACCCTTAATTTCTTTCATGAGTCCGATGAATTTTTTTCATCTTAGGCAAAAACCAGTATCAAGTAAATTTAGTAAACATTGATCTCTTTTCAAAGAAAGTTGCTCAAAGCACCATTCTATGTCTGCTTAGCCTGGCTATTCCTTGATAGGACCTACACAGACATTTTTAATTTCTTTGTTCTGAAACTTGTTTATTAATTTGCTACTTGACAGTTCCATATTTACATATAATGCATTCTGATGAGTCTCATCTTATCCCACACATATACCTCAATGCTACAAATTCCTTTCCCACATTCAAGTCTTTGTAACTTTTGTTACTTTGTATCATTGGTATTTGAATATAAGACATTTTAGCTATTCTTATGCAAGTTCTTAGTCCCACCTTCCAGTAAACATCCACCACCTTGTCCCTCATTTAAATCAAAATCCACAAGCACATTTAAAAACAGAAAAGCAACACAAAGATGAGAGAAGAACTAATAGAGCAGACTAATGAGCAGAGGCCCATGTCTGTGTACCAGCTCTGAGACCGTGCATCTGTCTGTCTAGGACTACTTCACCAGCACAGTGTTAATTATTTAGGTGACAGAACAGGGGGACCCATCACCACATCTGTCACCTTCACACAGTGAAGCCTTCCTCCACTGATGGGCCAGATGTGTTTATTTGAAACACAGACTAACTAGCTATTTAATGGGTTTGAATTCTTAGCCAAAAGGTAATTAGGCAAACATATTAAGCATCAGTAGCCTTACAAGGCTAAACTGTTTCAGTTCTGTTGGTTTTAATTCAATCTCAGAAGAGCCGGTCACCTACAAAAAATATCTGAAGAGAAGTCAAGGCAAATCAAACAGTCTAAATTATGTACAACATACTAAGAAGAGCCAATAATGATGCTCCCTGGCACCCAGGATAGTCACAATAGTCCCTAAAAGTTTGCCTCCATGGTTAGCTAGAATCTGATACCAAAATAAAATGAAATGATATAAAAGACATATCTCCATCCCCAAATGTTCTGTACCTGTAAGTAAAATATTAATTTCAAAGGCTAAATTAATGATGGTTTTTCATACCCAATATTTACCACTGTTTTATAAAAATTGCATATCTGAAGTATTTATGCTATCTGCAAAGTATTCAAGAAGGACACTAGTTGCTATGGTTCACTATTCAAAAGGAGAAAGAAAAATAGTGAGGCCTAGGAGATAGCAGGTAAAAGAACCTGCTGAGAGTTTGATCCCTGAGAGCACATGATGGAAGGAAAACTGTAAGCTGTTCTGTGACTTCCCTATATACCATGGCAGGAGCACATGACATGCCCGCAAAGCACACCCACACATACAGAGATTAAGAAAAGTAAAAGTAATTTTTTTAAATTTAACTGACATCTGGCATATTTTATATGTACTTATAAATATAAATATGCATGTCACTTCATTTTATGATTACATGAGAGAGTAAATTAAATTGTCCTCTTTAATCATTCACTTATTTAAAAGTGTCATGATTTTCTGTTCTTGTCAATGGTATGTCACCCTAAAATAAAATTCTGACCATTTTTCCTAGCCTCTGAACAAAAATCAAGTTTATCAAATTTTTATATGTATTGGTAAACAAAACTATTTGAGAAAACCACCTTTCAACCATGAAATGTTTAGTGAATTTCCACTATGGTGGGCACTAGGTAAACTCAAGGGTGTCTACAAGAAACAGGACTTACAGCATTCATTTTATAGAAAGGAGCAACAATAAACAGCAAGGGTCTGGGAGAAAAATCAAAAGGTGAAGGGAATAAGGAGGTCGCTTAATCAGAAAGAGTGGCTAGGAAGGGTTTTTATTTATTGGAGGGTGACATTTGAGCAAGACTTAGGGAGACAAGAAAGCATCATTCCAGGCAGAGGGACCAGCAAGGAAGACAGGACTGATGGGCCTGTATGCTGATGGGTTAAGAGACAGGAAGAGGGGTAGTGTGGCCATAGCTGAGCAGAGAAGCAATGAGGAGATGAGGTCTGATGAAGGGAGGGTTTGGTTCCTGTAGAACTTTAGGGGATACTGCCAGCTCTCCTTTACCTTCGTGTGAAATGAGGAACATATTCCTAGTAAGCCCATGCTTGATTTTATTTGCATGATCACAAATGTTGTTCAATAACTTCCAAATATGTTAAACACTGACACTTTCACAAAAACCAAGTACTCATGCTGATTGCAAAATACAAAAATCATTCTCTTTGATTCCATGGAGGAAAATATAATCTTCATGTGTGAACACTAATTTTGAATTGAGATGATAGCTTTTGGGGTTTAATATTTTTAGGCTCTGTGAAAAAAATCAGTATTAAGTAATTCCATCAGTTGGATCAGCATTCTGAACTATTGCAGTCATTGCTATCAAAGTAGACAACATCTCAAGTTTTTGTAATTATTATTTGCTGATTTTTAAAAATATGAAAAAATCAGATAGAAATACTAAGTTATTATTAAAATTACTTGTGCGTTGATAATTCAAATAAAAGCTCTTCTCCTGAACTAAAAATTTCTTTTAACCAATTATCATCATGGTTTACAGTCACACAAAAAATAACGAATGTAGAATTAACTGAAATGGGAAGTCAATTAAAGTAAAAGATGAATGAAAACGTATGCTAAGTCATATGCACCATGAGCCACATTGTACTTGCTTTTATCTTTAATATTTATTAAATTTCATAGCAAATGTTGAAAACCTTAGTTTGGAACGCTGTGTGTGTGCATGAGTGTATCCATTCAGTACTTGAAAGCTCAAAATAATGTGTGTGGCTCTGGTGACCTGTAAGCTATAACAATAATTCCCAAACTCACCCATGCAATTTTAGATTATTCTTAATCAATACCCACCAACAAGTTAAAGTAAACATTAACATCTTCAACCTACTGAGATTACAGTTTCAGTAGTAATTTATAATTTGATGTTCACTCTGTGCAGTGCAGGAGGTATTGAGGCTTTTGTGCTCACAGATAAGCACTAGGGGAAATAGGAATCTTAAACACACAAGGTTGTTCCTTCAAAGGAAGTGATGCATAACCTGTTATCCTCCCAGAAAGTTGGGATCAGACCCAGTTAATATCCTACCAGTATGGCTAAGGCTACACCATATTCTCCCCTAAGACCCTTATTGTGAGCTTTATGGAAGGTGTCACATCTACTTTACAAAGAGTATCAACATAAGGTTTCTTGTGCACATGGGACCGAATAATTATCATAGGGAAAGTATTCTCCAAATTGTGCTGTGCTTAATGTGCCTAAAATAGGCCACTCAAAGTCAGACTACTAAAGTTTAAACCAGCATGAGCTACATAGTTGTGTTGAACCCAACTGCCTGCTTGTCTCTCACGGATCCTTATTCTGCTGGCCATGGTGGCTACAGAGACCCACACAATACAGTAAAAATTGTTCATAATAAATTTAACAATCAGCATGGTTTGGTGGGTGCACACTTGCAATCTCAGCACTGGAATGTAAAGGCAGGAGGACCAGGAGTTCAAAGCCACCCTCAGCTACTTAGTAAATTTGAGGTGGCCCTGGGCTACATAACACCTTGTTCTCAAAAAACAAAATAAACAAACAAAACTAACAGTGTGTAATTTTCATGTTATAGTAATTCATTGCATTGTTTTGTTTTGATTTGGTTTGGTTGTCATTTGTTTTAAATCAGTGCAGAAAGGCTTTTATTAGGAGTGAGGACAGAGAGAGAGATGAAGAAGAGAGGGGAGGAAAGGGGAGAGATGAGAAGGGAGGGAAGGGGAGAGGAGAGGAGAAGGGAGGGAAGGGGAGGGAAGATGAGGGGAGGGGAGGGGAGGGGAGGGAAGAAGAGAGAAGAACAGAGCAGAGCAGAGCAGAGCAGAGCAGTAGAATACTGCTGTTGAGTTGCTTTTGAATTACTTACTCTCCAGCTCTGTTCAGGACAGGTGCAGGACAAAGTATGGAACTGTGCTGAACGAGTACTGGTTTTTCACCTAAAAAACAAAATGTCATTTAGTTAATAAAGAGTTGTATACCCTAACATAGTCTCATTTTTTAAAACGCAAGCATTCCACAGTAAGAATTCAGTGGGGAATGTGAGAATGGCCAACAGTATGTTTTTAAAGTCTAGCTAAAGAGTCAAACAAAATAAAGGAGATTTGAGAAATGAAGAGTTATAAAACGTTGACACAAAGATATGCTAAATAGTAAGTTATGGTTTTTTTATCTGAGTTAATAGTACACATTGTAGATGCAACTTTTTCTCTGGAACGTTTCAAATATCTAAGGCTTTCAAGGATAAATTAGATATTGTTTCTAAGAAACAGAATTTAGAATGGATGGAAAATGGAAGACTAGTGCCTAAGTTGACAAGATAGCTATCTCTATACCATATAAGTACATGCTAACAAGCTGGGTGCTTAAAAACCCTTGGAGCTTTAACAGTATGTGTGAAAATTCATCTAGCAATGGGACTACTGACAAAATTTACATAAGCAAAAAGATCATCTCAGAATGTGAGTAATGAAAATACAATTTCACCTCCATCCATTTGAGAGTTTTCAATAAAGTGAATCTTATTGGTGTGCATATTATAATCAACCCAAATATGAGATCCAAAGAAGTCATATAAATCTAGCACTTACGTACAAATAACTATTGAATAGAAATACAATTAGTCTTCCCTGATCAACTGTGCTATATATTATGAACATGAACCTACATCCAATAACTGATGGCAGCAGTCAGGCACTCGGCTGAGCTCCTGGAGTTCAGCTGAAGAGAGGGAGGAGGGATCATATGAGCAAGGAAAGTCAAGACCATGATGGGGAAAACCACAGACAGCTGACCTGAGCTGGTGGGAGCTCGCAGACTGTGGACTGACAGCTGGGAAACCTTCATGGGACCAAAATAGGCCCTCCAAATGTGGGTGACAGTTATGTGATTTGATCTGTTGGGGGCAGGGGGGGGACCCTGTCAGTAGCACCAGGACCTATCCCCAAGGGCATGAGCTGCATTTTGAAGCCCATTCCCTCTAGTGAGATACCTTGCTCAACCTTGATATGTGGGGTGGGGGTTGGTCCTGCTTCAACTTGGTATGCCAAACTTTCTGAGCACCCCAAGCAAGGCCTCACCCCTTTGAGGTGAGGATGGAGAGGAGTGGGAAGGGTGGGAAGCGGGAGGCCTGAGAAAGGGAGGGAGGGAGAATTGGCGTTGGTATGTAAAATGAAAAATAAGTGTTTTAATTTTTAAAAATTGTGCTTGGTCAATAAAGAAAATATGTGGAATCTAAAAACAAACAACAACAACACCAACAAACAAACAATATCATTTTGCCCAAACAAATGGTGTTCCTGATACAGAGAAGAGAAAATAGTAACCATATTAACCATGCTGAGATTTTTCAACACTTTAATTCAATAAGCACACAAGTTGCCAAACCTATACTAACCAGATGGTTCAATGCCTTCAGGGAAACAGCTAAGTTACAGCTGAATCTCCCTAAAAACAGTTAAATCAGAGCTCATAAATTTTAAAGGCCAAAATACCCATTCACAGAAAAGAATGTTTTACTAGCAGACCAACACACTCAGGAAACCAAAATCTACTGATGTGATGATTGTCATCCAACTCAATTCTGGTGAACACTGAAGGCCTTAAAGGCCAACAGCACAAAAACAAAACCAAACAATAATAAAAGAAATTCAAGAAACTGAAAAGTTATTGGACATGAAGTATAGAAAAGAGATGGCAAAAACAATAATGCTAAGGCAACAGGTAGTTAAGCAGTCCAATACAATTACATTTTAAGGCAAGAGTTGAAAAATGTAACCCTGGACAGAAGACAATTTGATCACACAACTGATGTCATAGTCCAAAACCTAGATGCAGGTGCTTCAACTTTCAGCTCTAACTGTCATTCGCTGTTTCACCAAAGAAGAGTCTTTTACCCACCACAAACCATCTTCTGAACATGGAGGTTCCTTAGGACAGACTCTAGTGTTTATGAAGTAGTGAACAAACACTGTCACTACTATATAATACTACTCTTTGTATTATTATAGTTTCTTAATTTCTTCTCTGAAGAAAAACTGTATCATGGAAGATTTTAATTTAAAGAAGGAAGGAAGAAAAGAAAGGAAGGAAGGAAGGAAGGAAGGAAGGAAGGAAGGAAGGAAGGAAGAGAAAATATCCCAAGATGCATAGATGGCTCAATGATTAAGAGCACTTGCTGCTCTTCCAGGGGACCTAGGTTTTGATCCCAGCACCGACATGGCAGCTCACAACCATCTATAACTCCAGTTTGAGAGGCTCCAGTGTCTTCCAGCCTCTGCAGGCATCAGGCACTCACTAGGCACAAACATATGTGCAGGCAAAACACTCATATACATAAAATAAAAATAAATACTTTTTAAACAAAAAAATACTCAAGATTATGTGTGGTAAAGAATTTATGTGACATGGCATTTATGGAGACTCACTCTTTGAATATGTGCTGTTCACAGTGAATGTGCAGAGAACACTGCCATCATGACTGTTGGATGTGACCGCTCTTCCACTCAGGACAACTTGAAATTTCTCTAGAGATAAAAAGAAAGGCAAGCACTGTAATCAGTGTTTTACTAAAAACAACCAAGGTATCAAGAGGTTTAGAATACATTTCTTCATTCTATCCTTTTGACCGATAACTGTGAAGATGCAACTCCAGCCAAGACTGCTTCTTTAGATTGTCTCGGTGGGTATATTGGAGACAACATTCACTGTCACACAGACCTGTTACTTGATCTTTATTAAAGTGCTTTCCCATAGTAACCGAGGTATTAGAATTAAATTATACTAATAATTAGCTGGCTTATCTCAATTCCCAGAATTCTATTCTTAGAGCTTTTTTTCTAAAAAGAATGTTCTCTCTCTCTTTCCACACCTAGGCATAAAATTCAGGTAGTAAATAAAGAAAATGTGTCAACCTGTTTCATCTTCTGTTGCATACAAGCTTAAAATCCAACAGAGGTTCAATCATTTGGATTACTGACAACTGTTACAGTGACTAGAGGAAGCTGATTTATTGTCTCCCTATCAACAATGTAAGAATAGGCAATAAATGTTGGAGAATGAAAGAATATGCCAGAAGACAAGTTGACAGAACAAATCTCTTGATAGGCTGAGAATACTTGCTGCTTGACTACAAAAGAATATGTTAGCCATCCCAACAGTGATGGTCTCTTGCCACAAAGACAAACTGAAGCAAAAGATATGTTAGAGATTTGATCTGATCAAATTACAATTTAGGAATTGGGCAGCTCTGATGTAAGGATAGTTTGGGAGGGCCACCAAAAAAAAAATCAGCCAAGATTTTTCTAGAAAGAACATACAAATAATTCAAGTATACACACACAGAGAGAGACCCAGAGACAGATCCACAGCATAGATCTGTCTTTTGGGAAAGTTCCTACTTTAATATTCTAAATGTATTGTAAGTATATTGGTTGCTTTTGACTGGTTGAGCTAAGTTCTGGGGGGTTTTTTGTTTGTTTGTTTTAGTTTGGTTGTTATTTTTCAGTACATTATTACAAAAATATAGCTCAGATTTTGTTGAGGTTTAAAAATCAAGGGGAGGTCACTTGTGTTGTCTAAATGGTCTTTTATGTAAAGATTCCATTCATTTTAATTCACACTAATACCCTCTATCCTCTCAAACCCCTCCCTCCTGCCATCGTCCCACATACATACTGTCATCAGCTACCAAAATAAAACCTACCAGCCACTCTCCATTCACTGAATCAAGGAGGCTTCCTTGTAAGTTCTAATAATGTACATATAAAACCTGAAATGTAATTCAGTGAGAACATGGGCACTGGTGTCCGACGGGTAAGGACCTAAAGGACATTGATTAGTGACAAATACCAAATTTGTCTATGCCTCACTTTCTCCATCTGCAGACTGGGGATGATAAAACTTCCAAGTGTTTGTTACAGTAATTAGGTAAAACTGTATATTCAAAGGACACAGTCAGAAAGGTGCACAAATTTGGAACCTAACAAAGAAAAGCTGCTGTTCTAATGGAGTTTCCACTGATTTGTCTTTTGTCTTTGTAGGAAACTAATGATCACTACAGTTAGAAGAGATCCTGCTGCTCTGGAATGTCCTTGTGTACTCTTCCTGCTCAGCATCTCCATGACCATTTTTTAGGGAGCTAGAGGATGCAGAGAGCAAGAACCTGTCCAATAACCGTGATACTCTGTAGCAAATACAGGATATATTCTCCTTCTCATCCAGGACTCAACCTTTTTCCTTTTCTAAGAAAGTTGTGCTAAAATGAACTCTGGGTCAATCTTGAAGAAGAAAATGGGCCAGGGAGAAACACACTGTCTGGGCAAGGATGCCTAGGAGGTGGGGACCTGAGCCTGCCTTGATGAACAGCTGACGATGCCACCTGCTTCCTTCCTGCACTGTAGCCCTAAGTCACTTCCCTGTGTTCCTGGAGCTGGCGGATATGATGACATGGCCAAGTCATCAAGCACACAGCTCTGTGCCTTCCAATACCTGATCACCCAGTCAGACAAAGGATTCTATATCTAATTTTATTTGCCATAGAAAAGGTCTCAAACATGAACTAAATATACAGAACATTCTAAAAGCCTGTCACACAATATGCTCATTATTTAAAATAACATTGGAATCTTAAAAAATTTGAATTTAAAATGGAAATATTTCAAGGAATTATTTAAAAATTCTTACACAAAAAAGATGCCAAAAAAGTTAATTTTGCTATTCCCCTTCCAATATGAGTTTTGAATCATATATTTTAGCTAGGGGGAAAAAAACAATTTCTAACATGGTATTTTTAAATTCTAAACACTTACCCCCAACACAGACACTTGAAGGACTCAATTCCAGGATTTCAGTACATGATTGAGCTAATATCTGAAAAAAAAAGATTAATAAATAAATAAATAAGGCTTGGCTATAATACTAATTGTAACGTGAATTCTATGTTTATGAACAGTCTTGAGGTCATCTCCCTATTGCAAAAGATGTCAGAGAAAACGCAATTCACCATTACATGCAGAGCTATGAATGTCTTTGGAAACACGTTACCCCAAGGTATAATATAGCATTGTACATTGTAAAAATCCATATTTGATCAGAGTAAACCTAGACCAACAGAAAAAAGATGAACATTGCTTCAAAGTGGTGTGACCTTGGGTGTGAACAGATAATGAAAATTTCTGATATCAAAACCAATGCTAGCATTTCCTTGTCTGGCAAAAGCAAGACAGCAAATCAAACTTCCCACTTAATATTGCTTTGTCATGTTTTTTGTTTCGAACTTGGAAGATTACCAATATACAACAGCTCCTTTACTGGACAGTGTATTCCTAATCCATCTCCCAGGCTTAATTCCTAAAGGTGCAAATCTTCCTCGTGTGTATCAAGTGTCACGCTCGCAGAAAGCAGACTCCTTGGGAAAGCCAAACATTGCTCTCAAAAACAGTCTGTGTTCAAGCATGCACAAGGCCCTCAAGCAGAACAGCCCAACTTAACGTTCTCTGAGTCACAGAAGCCACCATACAAGGCACAGAAGCCACAACACAAGGCACATGGCCACAAGTGAAAAACAAGGATGAAGAAAGCTGTGCTTCATGGTCACCACGGTTCTGTCTCTATTTTTAGAACTCCAATGCACAGCATTGTTGAGGTCAGACAAAGTCCAGATGGCCCTGGAGCAGCATTCCTCTCCTGATGAAAGTTGAAGACAGATGAGTGCAGTGGTTTTCATATCCCCTGCTTGTAACTAGACAGGATGGAAGTCCTGATGCAAAAACTAAAAACATTTCCTGTGCTTCTCAGTTACAGCAGAAATACAGACACTCAGAATCTGAAATCACCTATAATATCATGGGCCTTTCCCTGCTGAATGCACATCTGAACAATCAGGAGGCATTATTTAAACTTTTGAAAGTTTTTTCCAAATGAACACAACTTTCAGCTTACCAGAGTGAGTCTTCAGGGTCTAGGAAACAAATCTAGTAAGATCTTACATTTGGAAAGAAGAAAAAAACTTGTGGATAACAAAACTGGGACCAATGATAAAAGCTAATATAGCCTCATGGAGGGTGGGATTTCAAGCCAACAACATGTTTAAATATTTCCACGGAATCTGGGCAACAAGACAATACAGAAAACAGGGTAGAAGAGTTTTGTGGGTTAAGACTAAACTTAAAACTTTCCAACTAATGAAAACAGGCATGATTGATGTAGTTTAGGCTAATGGGAGAAAGTTTTTAAACTTTGTGAGTCATGAAGTCGGCATCACCATGGGACATATTCCAGTTGGATTTACTTGGCATTATGTTCCTTCTCCCAAACCTGAACTTTGTTTTGAGAGTGGAACTTCATGTATAAGAAGATGCTTTTTGAAAAACTTCAGCAGATTACATAGCAGAGCCCACTTCACTATGAACATACTGTTTTATACGTGCAATGCAACTATTGGCTGCTTACGTTGGAAAAAAATGAATCCGAGGTAGCATCAAAAATGTTTCTCTAATCATCAAACCAACAATCACAATAGGGTTCAGATAAGTCAAGGCAGTTTGTAAGAAAAAGCACTTATCTCTTCTACAAATTATGAATTTTAGAAACACAGGGTAATATAATTTGGAACAAAGTTCACCAAAATTACTTCCAAATGAAAAATAATCAGAGAAGAGGGTGAGTGGATGAGAATGACAAGAGAGTTACTATGGGTGTAGAAATAAAAATGACTTGTAGATTTGCTTTCCACGTCTAGAATTTGCCATTTCTATACTAAGCAGGAAACGAGATGAATTGATTTTTTAATTTAAATTAACTGATTTATGTTATAATGTAGTTTACATGTAATACTGTAAATGATAATTACCACTGCAGCACAATAGTTCATGCAATCTTCTCTACAATGGTATCAAGTGAGAAACTCAAGATGTTAAAATGGAGATCTTCCAGGTAAGATGATCACCTAGAAGTTGCTGCTTCATGAACTAGTAAAGAATTAAAACAAGAAAAACACCAGGCTTTCTCCAAAGAGAGAAAGAGAAGAAGAGAGCCAAGAAATTACAAGACTATGGAAAGGATACCTAAAGAGTGTAGACAAAAGCACAGGAGATTAATATAACACACTGCAAGCATAGGGATGCCTGCTGAGGAGAGAGGAAGGAATGCAGGTATCTCCAAAGGGTAAGGCTTGTGACCCTGGTGAAAAGAAACTTGAACTACAACCTCTAGCATAGGCCCCTGAAACCTGTGCAGGCCTAAAATCCCTTGCCCAGCCTTAATACATGGGAAAGTATAGGCCATGTTTTGTTGATACTCATGGGAGACATTCCCTTTCCTAAACAGAAATGGAAGAGGAGTGGATTGGAGGTTGGGAGATAAATACCATACATTCTCTCAAGGACAGACTTAGGGGTGTGTGTGTGTGTGTGTGTGTGTGTGTGTGTGTGTGTGTATCTGTTTGTGTGTATAAGTCTCTCTCTGTGTGTATGTATCTCTCTGTGTATGTATGTGTCTGTGTATATGTGTGTGTACATGTGTGCATGTGTGTGTGCTTGTGTGTGTATTTGTGTGTGTGTGTGTGCTTGTGTGTGTATGTATCTCTGTGTGTATTCTCTCTCTGTGTGTATGTATCTCTGTGTGTATGTATGTGTCTGTGTACATGTGTGCATGTGTGTATGCTTGTGCATGTATTGTGTGTGTGTGTGTGTGTGTGTGTGTGTGTGTGTGTGTGTGTGTGTGTGTGTGTGTTCAACACACATAGCACATGTCTAAAGGTCAGGAGGAAATTCATAGAGCACGTACGTGCACAAGCATGCACGCCTGTGTGTGTGATAAGTGTCCTGCTGAGGGCTGGTCTTTCATTGTTCTTTCTCTTAGTTTCTTTCCTTCTTCCTTTGTGAACTACACAGCCTCTAAGGCCCTTTTAATCTATATCTGCTGCTCCCACAGGATGCAGGTTGAGTGGACCATGAAGATGTGAAATTCCAGGAGGCAGAGGTCATGAGGAGTCACTATTTGTACACACATCACCATTTATAAGTCTCGTGTTTATAATCTTGTGAAGAAATACAATGGAAAATAGATTGACAAGTAGGATTTTGCAAAAATTCTATGTTCCTGTATATTATTCCAAACTGCTGGTCAAGTTTAAGTACCTTTGTTGAAACTCCCTCCTGTGTAAGATTTGTTTGACTAGCTCCTGTACAGTGTATAACAACAAAAAGATTGATTTTTCTAGTAACATAAAAAAAAAATCAAAGCCCAAATACATCATCTTTTCTGAGTTGTAGGGTGTAACAAATAAATAAATAAATAAGTAAATAAATAAGAAGTTGCTGCCGAACTAATCCCAGTATCCCTTACAAATAGTAATTGCTGATTTTATGTTGCTTCTAACTAGTTTCACTAAAAATCAATATATCATTAGTGCAAGTCTTAGCCCAACTACAGAAGGCTGAGTTGGGTCTGAGGAAGGGTAAGCGTGCTGCTTGCAGTTTCCTCAGCCTACCAGAATCCTGAAGAAAATCAGACACAGCAGGGAGTCTAGTCAAGCAGGAACTTGTTTATTGTCCCACAGCAAGCATCTTTTAAAGCAAAAAACCACAGAGTAGGAAAATGGCCAGCCAATGGTTTTAAAGGCCGGCCTATCAAGCACTGTAAGCACCCTATGCTTTACCTAGAGCCTTTCATGCAGTGACCTCATCTGGTTCCATGAAGGCAACCAATCATCTTTTTTGTAAACAACTCAGGACTAGCCCATCTGACTTCCCCTCAGTGCCATCTTTGACTGGCTCATGTGCCCTACAATTTTCACAGTTCAGAATACTCTGAGGAGCTTGTGAAGTTGTAAATGCTGATTTTATGGAATTTCTCTATTTGACGAGGGCAAAAGGAAGAACAAGAGAAGGCTGTCTAGTCTCTATTCTGGGTTAGCAACAAGGCTGGGTGTAGTATGGAGAGGCAGCTGTAGCAGCTGCCTGCTGGCCTCCTTGAGGGCACAGATGTTTGGCCTGAGATGAAAGTAGATGTCACTGTTGTCCCTTCTCTGTAGCCCAGCTCAAATGCAGTATCAAAATGGTGTTTCTCCCTGGGTACTATAGGCATGTTCCAAATTAATTTGGATTAAATCTCCTCTGTCTCATGAAGTGTCAGGTTGCAGACTTTGAAAAGAGAGCAGGTTCTTCACTAGCTAACAAGGGTTAGACATGCCCTCTGCAAGCAGAACTGGCACATAATTGGTGGATGGGAACCAGGTCTAAGTCAGGCCCAGCTATTCCAGGAATTCCTCTGTCTACAGTGAGTGCATTATGCTGTCTTCATTTGACACTCAGGGCTTTATAGTTGCTGATTAGTAACCAAAAACAATGACACTGCTGTCAAGGAACCATCACTTGCTGAAAAAAATAGATTTTATGATGCATTTAAAGCATGTCTCATGTATATGAAGTTTTGTATATTTTTAATTGAGATCATACAACTTCCTGAACAAGTCTACCTATTAGAGGTGTGTTGTAGTATCTAGTAGGGTGTCACATACAGATTAAAAGTCATCTCATAAACTGAAAACTACATATGATGTAGTTAAGGGAGTTTTTCTGGAATTTAGTACAACATAGGGCTATTTGGTGAAAAGTTATACTTGGGATACACACATGATAAAAGTTTAACTTGGAATGCACTAAATGGAGCAATGAAATCAAAAGATTGTTTACAACCTATATTGTCTTCAAAGCTTATGACAACAGTATAAGACGTGGCTCAGAGCATTAAGATTTAAATATCAAATATTCAGCTTGGAAAAAACAAAATCACAAACTCTTGATGACCAATTTAAGCCAAGACAGATTTAAAAGTCCATGTATTTTCCTTAATTCCAAATAGCCTAT